AGGTAGTACTTTCTTGCTCCTTTTGGGAAACCAGTACTACCATGATACCAAAACCTAAGACATTATAAGAAGGGAAAAAACCTATAAACACCTCCAACCCTGCCACCACCACCACCACACACATAAAAGACAAATCATTTGAACTGACACTTCAAAAAAAAAAAGGTTAATTCACTCATGAAAAGAAGTTCAACACCATTCGTCATTAGGGTAATAAAATTAAAACAAAAAATAAAATTACATGTCCAGTAAAATGGTTAAAACTAAACAGACTGACAATACCAAATGTAGGCAAGGATGGAGAATAAAAACTACCATATACTATGGGGGATGGATGTGGGGGAAATTAGGAGTGTGATACAATCACTTTTGAATCAGTTTAGTATTAATTTAACATGCAATCAACATATGACCCAGTAATTATCCATACAAAGATCTATAAATGAATGTTTACTAGTATACTTAATTCTTAATAGCTCAAATCTGGAAAATACTCAATTGTTTACCAAAAAGTGAATGGATAAGTTTTAGCATTTTCATACAACAGAAATAAAAGTCAAAAATAAAAAGGTACAAATCACTGATATATTCAAGAACATGGAAGCATTCCAAAAGTATATGCTGAACAAAAAAGTGACCCTATAAACAAAAGAAGCAAACAATGGGATTCCATTTATATGAAATTCTAGAAATGGCAAAACTTATCTATAATTACATAAAACAAATCATCAATTGTGTGGGGCCAGTTATAGGAGTGAGGTGGACTGCAAAGGAACATGAGGGAACTTAGCGGGTGATGGAAATGTTCTAATTATTTTTCTTAAATAGATTTTTATCAATTTCAGAGCTGAAGGAAGAGAAAGAGAAGGAGATAAAACTTCAGTGATAAGAGAGAATCATCGATTGGTTGCCACCTGGAAGGCCCCACTGAGGATGGAACCCAAAACCCAGGTATGTACCCCAACAAGAATCAAACTGGGACCTCCTGGTTCATAAGTTTATGTTCAACCACTGAGTCACACAAGCTAGGCTAATTCTTGATTAGGGTGGTGGTTACAAAGATGCATACACTTATCAAAACTCAAATTGTATATTAAATATATGTGCAGATTTTTATGTAAAAGTTGATTTAGAAAGTAAAAGACTGGCCCTAGCCAGTCTTACTCAGTGGAGAGAGCATCAGTCTGTGGATTGAACGGTCCTGGGTTCAATTCCATCAAGGGCACAGGCCGGATTGCAGGCTCAGTCCCTGGTGAGGGGCTTGTAGAAGGCAGCCAATCAGTGATTCTCTCTCAGCCTTGATGTTTCTATCTCTCTCCCTCTCCTTTTCTCTCTGAAATCAATTAATTGGTATCCTAATATAAAAAAAAAAAAAAAATAGGGTCCATAACGATCGAAGGCTCCATCAAACACCAGAAGTCAGTCCTGTAGTCAGTGCTGGATTGCTGTGGCAAACCAGCACTGACTGCCGCCTCTGCAGGTGCAGTGATCCAGCAAGACTACTGAGGCGGCTACAGAGCAGGCCCAGAGAGGGGCAGGGTCTGATTCACAGCCTCTGTGGCAGCTGTTGATCAACCCTTGCTTCTTTCTTTCTCTCCTGGCTTCGTCAGCAGCTGCGCCTCTTGTTCTCTCTGGGCCTTCACGAGGGCTGCTGATAAGCCCCTTGTGTCTCTGATCAGGCCCAGAGATAGGCCCGGAGACGCTGACTGGCATAGAAGCTGACTAATCAGAACCAAATCTGGGTGAACTCTGAGGGGCCAATGGTTGCATAGGAGTCAGAGCTTTTGATGATGATTGGCATAGATAAATCAGAACCTAATTGGGTAAACTGCAAAGTCAGAACCTAAAGTGGAGGTTGAGGAGGGATTTTAAGAGCAACAGCTTTTTGGTGTAAGGCAATGGTCGGCAAACTTGTTAGTCAACAGAGCTGCAGTTTGCCAATCACTAGTATAAGGTGTAAGAAAGCAGTTCAATATTTTAATGACCAGTTTGGCAGTACAGTGCATACGACTGGCTATCCGTCCAGATATAGGGATTATGTATTTTTGTCTGCCAAGAGCATCTCCTCTTGCTGAAAAAGGCTCCCCCACACCACCATTTAAACAATCCTATATTGCCGAGACCGGTTTGGCTCAATGGATAGAGCGTCGGCTTGGGGACTGAAGGGACCCGGGTTCGATTCCGGTCAAGGGCATGTACCTTGGTTGCAGGCATATCCCCAGTAGGGGGTGTGCAAGAGGCAGCTGATCGATGACTCTCTCATCGATGTTTCTAGCTTTCTATCTCTCTCCCTTCCTCTCTGTACAAAATCAATAAAATATATATTTTTAAAAAATAAACAATCATATATTATTATACTAATAAAAGAGTAATATGCTAATTAGACCAGGTTGATCAGCCATCTTCTGGATGTCGGACTTCCTTCCAGACAAAGCCAAGATGGTGGGGGCTGAGGCAGAGGCAGTTAGGGGTGATCAGGTCAGCAGGGGAGGGCATTTGAGGGGCAAGATCAGGCCAGCAGAGGAGGGCAGTTAGGGGTGAGCAGGCAGGCAGAGAGAGGTTAGGGGCAATCAGGCAGGCAGAGGCAGTTAGGTGCAATCAGGCAGGCAGGTGAGCAGTTAGGAGCTAGCGGTCAGACATCCCCCAAGGGGTCCCCAATTGGAGAGGGTGAGGGCTGGGCTGGGGGAACACCCTCACACACATGAATTTCATGCATCGGGCCCCACTAGTGTGTGTCTGTCTGTCTGTCTCTCCATATATAGTGACCAGACATCCCACTTTTAGCGGGACAGTCATGCTTTTTAACAATTTGTCCGTGGCATTTTTAAAAAGTCCCGATTTTTGGAAAGACTCTTCAGGACTTTTTTAAAACACCGCATGACAAATTGTTAAAAAGTGTGACTGTCCCGCTTTTGATCACCTTAATATATTAAAAAAAAAAAAAAAAAAAAATATATATATATATATATATATAAAACTTTCTTTAAAAAAAAAAAAAAAAAGGAAAAAGAGTGCCCTGATTCTAGCCAGTTTGGCTCAGTGGATAGAGCAGCAGCCTGCAGACCAAATAGTCCCAGGTTCAATTACAGTCCAGAGCACATATCATGGTTTCAGGCTCCAACCAATCGATATGTTTCTTTCACATTGATGTTTCCCTCCAATCTTTCCCTCTCCCACTCTCTTTAAAAGATCAATGGAAAAATATCCTCAGGTGAGGATTAACAACAACAAAAAAAGAGTGCCAGGTCTGCTCAGTGGTTAGAATATCAGCCCTCAGATCGAAGGATTGTGGGTTGGATTCCCAGTCAAGACACCCTAGACCTAGGAGGGGCATGTGTGGGAAGAAACCAATCTTTGTGTCTCTTTCATATCAATGTTTCTCTCTCCCTCCCTCTCTTCCTTCCTTTACACTCTCTCTAGAAATCAATGAAAAAATATCCTCAAGTGAAGATTTTTTAAAAAGTAAGAGTGGTACGGCGCATATACTGGTATGGGAAGAAAGTTATATCTCTACATAACATCATTCACAAAAATAAACTTGGCTAAATATAAACATAGAAATCAAAATTGCAATCACACAAAAAGAAAAATAATAGGATATATTTATAAATTTAGGGAATGAATAGTGTTCTTTAAAAAGACATTAAAAAGCAAAAGCTATAAGAAAGAGAAAGATATATTGGTATTTATTTATCAAAATTAAAACTTCAAGACCATAAAACTTAAAAGGGCTATGGGAAATATATCTGCAACATGTGGTAAAAGGAAATATTAGATTCCATAATTCAAACAAACAAACAAACAAAAAAACATTAAAAAATACTCCTAAAACTCATAGGTGAAAGATGCAATCCTAAGGGTATAGGATGTGGGCAAATTCATCTATATAGAAATCAAATGGATGGCAAATTTGTAAAGATGAACTTCACTAGCAATTTGGAAATGGAATGCCATTTTTCACTCAAAAGATTGGTGGTCAAAATAACAAATGGGAGTATGCATATGAGGAAAAATAGGGAACACAAGTGGGAGCACTGACTGATACATTCACTTCAGAGTGAATTTGAGAGTATATATTAGGCATATACTTTCAATACTCAGTAATTCTACTTCTTGCTTTTTCCCAAAAGAAACTTGCATGCACACTAGAAGGCATGAACAAAGATATCCATTATAGCAATGTTTATAGAAATGAAAACTTGCCAACTTAAATAGCAAAGGGAAATGGCTAAATAATAATATACATTTATACTATGGATGCATTTTTAAAAAGTGAAATAGCTTTATATATAACATTATCTATTTATAATTTATAGATAATACATATGTATAATAAGGAAAAGACCTATTTCTGAGTGATTAAAAATACGAAGAAATAATTCTGTAAAGAAATAATGAGAAAATGCTTATAATTACATAATATGCATATAAATGCATATGAAAAGTATTACAAATGTATGTATGAAAGGAGCTCATATGACATGGAGAAGGCAAAACTGAGGAAGACTATTATTAGAAGTCTTAATCAAACTATCGATACATAGAAGAATGTATTCTTGTATAATTTGTATAAGTTAATGTTTAAAAAATTCTGCTAGTTGATTTTAGTTGAGCTTGGAATTTTTGTCTGAGGAATCTTTTTCCATATAACATAAATATGGTTTCTATGTCGTATGGAAAGGAGTTTCTCAGACAGTAGTTTAAGAAGACCTTACCACCTGTAGCCTAGAAACCAAAGGCGTTTGCCAACAAACTTAAAAGTCTCTTTCTCATATTGCCTTGAAAGCTTTTCAAGTATCTCTCCATTTAAATCCCTCTTGATTCTACTATCTGGTTTTATTTTTCATAGCAGTTATCACTAGTTGAACTTATCTGTTTATTCTCGTTTATTGTCTGACTCCCACTAAATGGGAATGGCAAGACAATTTTGAATTCATATAATTTTAGTCAAGCCATTAAGAGTTTTCTTACAATATCAAAGATACATTTTATTTACTTACCTTAGTTGGAAAAGGAAATTTGGAAGGTTCTGTTTTGCATGGTGTATGAATAGCCGTTAGAGGGGGAGGCCATGAATGCGTCATCTCCTGAAATGTAATTATTACAGTTTGTTTTCAACCAGGTCAAGGATAAAAATTACACAGCTAAAAACCAGATTTGTATTATAAATGCTGGTTTCATGATTGTTCCTCTAAAGGTATACATATTTAATAAATATTAATTAAGCACAATTGTGTGCAAGGCACTTTTGGGTAGGTAATAGAAAAATAAATAATATACACGCTCTGGTGTCAAAGAGCTGGAAATTAGGATGATATAACCTTGTAAACAGTTACAGAAATTAGTCCTGCAGTCAAATACAAGACACATAGTAAAATGCTACTGAGGAAGAGGTTGCTGTGGGAGTGAGAGGAGAGAGATAATAATAATAAAAGTAGCTAACACTGTGTACCTGTAATGAGCCAGACATTATGCTAAGTGTTTTACATGTCTATTACTCATATAGTGCTCACAATCACATTATGAGGTAGATAGCATTATTATCCTAAGTCTATGTAGGATGAAATTGAAGCACAGAGATTAAGTTATTTAGTAAGTAATGAACACAGAATTTCATCCTAGGATGTCTGGCCACAAAGGTTATTCACTGATAGGAAATATTAGTCAGGAAAATCAGAAAACAGATATCAAAAGCACATGAGCAAGAAGACAAACAAACATGGCCATAAGTCTGATTTTATTCAATACCTGCTGTCTAATCATATGCCAAGTATGTCCAAGTGGAGGTTTGGATAAGATCACAATGTGAATATTAGGGAACCATGGGAGAGAGAGATATCAGGCATGGAATAAGGAGGGAGTGTTTTATTCTGGCATTTAGCTCAAAGTAAACCATTATACAGAGAAAATACAATAAAGGTAGTATAAGCATTAAGAATTTATCTTATAGCTTATACCCATATAGTTAAGATACATGTTCAAGCAGCTCACACTAAAAAAAATGGAAGCAACCTAACTGTCCAATAACACAGGAATAATTAAATAAATTACCAGACATCCATACGATGGAACACCAAGTAGACAGTAAATTGAGAAATTTAAATACTGACATGAAATGATGTCCACAGATTATTACTAAGTAACAAACAAAAATCACAGTTTATGTCCTAGTAAATGTTTATATATGAAAAAAAAATCTCTGGAAGATAGTTAACAATAGCTACCTTTGGGCAACAGAATGGCAGAAGGGATAAAAGACAAGGGAATTTGATACAGTCTTTACTACCCTGTTTCCCCAAAAATAAGACAGTGTCTTATATTAATTTTTTCTCCCAAAGTTGCACTAGGTCTTATTTTCAGGGGATGTCTTATTTTCGGGGAAACACAGTACTTGAACCTCTAGAATCACTCACTACTTGCACTGTAATTGCTCTTCACCTTCTTACAATGCTTTATTTTTTAATGGCATTTCACTTACTGAAATAATATAATTGATTTCTTACATCCTGCTCTAAAATGTCAGCTCAAAGGCAACAGTATCATTATCATCACCACTGTATCCCCAGTATTTGATACACAGTAAGTGTTAAATTAATAAGACTTGAATTAATAAATCCTTTTTTATAGTAAATACATACTGCTTTTACATTATATTTTTTCCCCCTTTAAGTTTGTTCCTAGAAACAGTATGACTAGAAATATCAAGAAAACATGAAGGGAATTCAGACCTGAAGTTCCTTACCCACTGCACATAGGGAAGGTGAAAGAAAACAGAAAATCATATACCCCAGGTTTACAGTGTTGGTATTTTACACCTCAAATACCAAAATACCCTCAAAAGAAAATCCATCATCAAATGATTGAGCACTTATTACACCCAAGGCCATATGCCACCTTGTATATATAAAATGCAAAATAAATTGTCAGTAATATGAAAGGTATAATTAAGTACAAAAAAATCTAAGATTTCTTCTAGGTATTAGAATGCCATATATTTTTGAGGATTTGGGGAAAAGATATATGCTCCCTTAGATTTTTTATTTACATGGCAACTGAAAAATCAATGCTATATGAAAATCAAAGGAAAAAGCTTATCACTGTGGTCTCTGTTGATATGATAAAGGGGGAAGAGAATTTCATTAAAATTCTAATAAAAAATAGAATCTATATATAACTAGATATATATTGAGAGGAAGGAGAGGCACATTCCATGCAAGTTTTCTTTAAAAAAGGTAAAAGGAAGAGAACATGTATGGTTTGGGGAAACCAGTTTGGTTAATCTGTAGTGGGAGAGATTAGGACTGGCCTATGGAAGATCTGGAATGTTAAATTTGGGCACTATTCTTTGTATGGGCCTTAGAGAGCCATTAAAAATTTTTAGGAAGCATTTTAATTTATGAAGATAAAAGGACTGAGGCAATGAACCTGATAGCAATACAAAGACAGATGAGTAGGGAGACTGAAGACAAGAAAGGCAGAGTGAGAACTGTACAATGCAATTATTGAAGCTCAAGGTAGCAGAAATGGAAATAAAGGAAATAAATATTTTCCAGGAATTTTCAAAGTCTACATGTAGTTTGTGATTAAATAGAACATGTGAGAAAGAAATGAGAGATAATTAGGATGCTACACTTATAAGAATAGGAAAATGGTAGTACTATTAATGCAAGGAAACCTGATAAATTTAGACATTTGAGTCTGAAAAAGCAGGGAGAAATCCAAATGGAGACCCAGGTTAAAAAAAAAAAAAAAAACAATTAAGAAACATAAACCAAAACCTAAAGGAGACCAAGGCAGATGAGAAAGACTGAATAGATATCTGATAAAGCAAAAAAAAAAAAAAATGGAGACAATGGCAACTAACCAAGCAAAAAGAAGAGGAGAGGCTAGAAAACACACCCATATTAAAAAGGTAAGGGAGGACACAGGGTTCCCCAAAGGCAGAGAATAAGAGACAAGAAAATTGTATGAGAAATAAAAACAATGAAGCATAATAACAGTCAAGGAAGAAAAAAAATAAGAATCCTTTAAGAGCTGAAAGAGCAGAGAACTCAAATGAAGTCCCCAATGACATCACAGAACAGATTCAGCAAAATGGTAGAGATAAAGGAGAGATTATACTGGACTAAAGGAAAGAAAGAAGGAATAAAGTAAAAGTGACAATGCAAATAATCTTTCAAAAGTATCCATATTGAAATGCTAATAGACATAAAAATTTAGGTGCTTTTATAAAAAGTACAAGTAATATGTTTCTGACAGTTTTTCTCTATTGAGTCAAAAGCAGTTATTTGGTCACTCTAAGTGACCAAATAACTTTATATTTTTCAAAAGCTTTAAAATATCTTTCTTATGCCGAAACCGGTTTGGCTCAGTGGTAGAGCATCAGTCTGTGGACTGAAAGGTCCCAGGTTCGATTCCGGTCAAGGGCATGTACATTGGTTGCAGGCACATCCCCGGTAGGGGGTGCGCAAGAGGCAGCTGGTCGATGTTTCTCTCTCATCGACATATCTAGCTCTCTATCCCTTTCCCTTCCTCTCTGTAAAAAAATCAATAAAATATATTTTAAAATATATATATATATATCTTTCTTATATTCAGAAAAAAATAATTTTAAGTGAAATTATTCAGGTGAGCAGCTTGTCAAAAAATTCAAATATTTATATACAAAATATACCATGATACTGAGATACATCACTGGACTTCCTCTTTTTCTTTTCTCAATGGAGGAATCTACTTTTTGGTCATATGTCACTTTTAAACATCCCATTAAACACTCAAAATATGCAGTATTCAGAGGAGGTCTTTCAGTGTAGGATTTGATCAGTGTGTACAGATGAATTACAAAGCAAGCTATTTTCAATATGATGGTTTGACTGATAACTATGGAGTTTTTTTTAGCACTTCAAATTATTAACAGATAAACCAGAAAACGTATAGTTATATTTAGTTCCTTCCTCTTTTTAAGGCGAACAGTTAAGACTGAAATTTGTTTTACTTAAAAACAAAAACGGCTCTTTGAGGCCAAATAGTAAACAAACCAAGTGATTTAGAACCTAAGTATGAATATAAGCATAATAAATAGTCAATTATTTTTTATGGACATAATCAAGTTACACATGTAAACAATCTGTTGCTTCAGATCCTTTGTGAAATAGAGGAATAAATAGGGTAAGTGAGTGGCAGAGCAACTTACTTTAAGAATTTCATCCACACAGCTCACATCACCAGAAGCAGATGCCTTAGGAAAGAAGAAAAGAAATAGACATTAGATTTGAAGTCACTTATTATTAGAATTTTATCATTGGTTGTACAAATTCAATAACATTATTAGAAACAAAACTTAAAGAAGTACTTATGCTCCCACTATTCCACATCAGAGTACTTATTAGAATACTTGGACTACTTTTCTTAAATACAAACTTCTCAAAAACTAAAAATATCTTAATCACCAAACCGTACATGACTTTAAAAAAAAATTTGTATTTTTCAAAAGCTTTAGAATCTCTTTCTCATACTTAGGTTAGAAATTATTTTTAAATGTAATTTTTCAGATGAACAATTTGCCAAAAAATTTTAAAATTCTAAGGATCATGTTGTTTGAAGAAAGAACAAATTACCACTTTTTTCTCTCCAGAGGAGTAATTAGATGATAAATGCCAAGAACAGTAAGTTTTTCAAGCAGGAAAAATTTTTAAATGTTCTCAAAATATGTTTAAATGTTCTCTAAACCTGACCTCCACCACACAGTTTTAAGCTATGAGCTGTGATTTCAGCTACTAACATTATCTTTAATTATTTTTATTTTCTTTTTTATCCTCACCTGAGGATATGTTAATTGATTTGAGGGTTAGAGAAAGAGAGAGATAGGTGAGAAAAGAGGAAGAGGTGGAAAAACAGACAGAGAGAAACATCAATGTGAGAGAGATGTGTGTGCCCTGACCAGGAATGGAACCCACAAACTTTTAATGTATGGGAAAATGCTCCAACCAACCAGGCCACCTGGCCAGTAGGAAATCTAAGATATTCATAGATCGTACTTTTATTCTATAACCAACTCATCATTTTAATGTTTGAAACAACGAATGATATTTTCTCTACTGCATAAGAGGGCAAAGCTAACAACTCTATGGATCTATTTGGAAGTCAATCACAAGTCTTCCTTTAAACTTTTACATTCCTTACTATTAAAACAAAGGGACAGTTCAAGATCAACCATAATTTCATGGTAAACTGCTACACATAGTCACAATGTTAAAAAAAAAAGTTCTAAATGTGTGACTTACATCCAGTGGTTGGGAAGGTATTTTCAGCTTGGTGAGATGTGCTTTGCTGCTAGATTTCAATTCAGCCATGCTGTTGCCATGGGATTGACTGCTGTAGTGCTCAGAGGACAGCTTTGGTTCCATGGACTCCTGTCCGTCCATAGGTCGTACATAGGCAGTGGGTTTCTGTAACATTGAACTGGACTTGGACATCAATGAAGGTGGGAAAGACTGATTTGAGTGCTGCCCACTTGAAAAAGATACACGGGAAGGAGAATCCCAATTTGCATCAGGGTCCCGAGGTGATTTGGAACGCTGATGTTCCTTGTTATGGTGATCATTCCCGTGAGACCTGGAATGACTGGAGCTTAATGAAGAAACAGCCTGGGGTTTTCCAGGGCTGGAAGAGCGTGATTTGGAGTGTTCAGATCCATGCTGGCCTTTTTTCCGGCTACTGCTCCCACTACTGCTATATGAATCACGGTCATGCCTCTGGCTACTACTATTAGTGCCACCACTGCCACCTGCACTGGTCCGCTGGTTACTGTGTCCACTCTGTAAGCCTGAGGACCGTTTCTGAGACTGAGAAGTGCTGGGTGCAGGTCCTACAGGAGTCCATTTGCTACTCTGATGAGAGCTTCCATGTCTCTGTTCAAAGAAATTTGGGTTAGATTTTTCATCTGCTGTCGTTGATACTGCAGGCTTGGGAAGTGCAACAAGCTTTGGTATAGATCTGTCTCCTATGAAATCCTTCATTTCATCGTAGTTTCCAAGCATACTCTGAATACGACTTGATAGCTTATCTTCTTTACTAGTCTACAAAGAAATGTAAAATATAATTATATAATTAGCATAACTTGAAATAAGAGATGCCTCTAAAGTGACTTCCAAACTTCAAATGGAAAGGGTCTTTCCTATCTTCAGGTTAACAACTCAAAGCAAACTCCAAATATATAATTTTTTCTAGTGAAAACAATGCATTGAAACTGAAACACATTCATGCTAAAACACAAATATTCTCTAGGACCCTGAGAAATATATAAATAATAAATTCCAGGAGGAGAAAAATACAAATTTCATCAATAAATATATTGACACAATACTGAAAATCTTTTCAAGAACAGGAAAAATAATCTGCCTTTATGTAATTAAGTTCCAGGTCATCAGATTATTTCATACACAGTCTAGGAAAACATTATATTCCTAATAATTCAAAAATTTAGTGAAACAAGTTATAGCCAACTACTGTTTTTCAATTTTAATTCCTCTGTTACTTTGACTCATCAAATTAAGAAAAGTCCCAGTAACAAGTTAAGCATAGACAATCTTTTGGTAAAAGTTTTAAATTTAATTTATTAATTTAATTTAAATGAATAAATAAATAAATAAGTTTTAAATCCTAACTACTAATTCTGACCAATAAATGCTCCACTATTTGAAGTCAATAGTACATACTTTAAACTTAAAGAATTATCCTTGGATAATAAGGAAGTCGAAGATATATCCAAGTTTTAGGACTCTTTCACATTCATACTCATAAAAGAAAGTCTACCAATTACATTAAAAAAGAAAATCAAGACTGAGTCACTACTATTTTATTTTGTGGTTGGCATGAATCAGTAAGGACTTTAAATAATTTGAAAATCAGTATGATTCCTACTAAGAGAGCTAACTATATAGCAACTTATAGACAATATCAAGATTAGAAATAAAATCCAATTCATTACAGAGTAATTACAAAATAAATGGCATATGATTTTAATCAATAATCCCAAATCTCAAGTTTTGTGTTATATTCATATAAATCATGTCAGTTTAACTGCCTTTATTAGGAAATCCTTAAAAGCTCATGGCTTTTATAGATCTCATATAATATCCAAAAACATTAAATGTTCTAAGGGATAAATCCAGAATATGCTCTTACATTTATTTTTATTTTTTGCTGTTACATTTATATTTCATCAGAAAAAAAGTCTAACAACTTCTCAATCTCATACTATGGTAATAATGGTCATTACTGCTGCTATACATTATATTATAGCTATTATACAAAATATGTCTTTAAAATGTAAAAATACTTCAAATAAAACTCAAAGCCAAATCAAATATTAGACACCTTTGTGGCCACTATAGCTACATTAGTCATCAGAAGTGGTACCATTCAGTGTTTTATGTCATCCCAAATCAAGCACAATGGTAGCTATAAAAATAGCAGTTGGTTCCATTTATTGACCAACTCTGACAATATGCTTTACTCTAACTCTGATATGGTTAATTAAGCATTAAATACATTAGAAAGAAAATCAGAGAATTTAGTATGTGACAATAGCAAAAGAAACAGATTGATACTGAAAATACATTTATTCAAACAAACTATTAAGTCACTGTAACCTAGTTAACCAAGCAACTGAAAAGGCAGAAAGAATCTATGAAATATAATCATTTTGTCTGATGTTATACCCAAAGAACCTAGAAAACAGCAGACAATGAAGATTGATTCACAAAATTTTAACTTAATTTAAGGCTTAAAAAGGTGAAATACCTGCCCAAAGTTAGTAGTAGAGACAGAAATACAGACATGATCACATTTTCAAAATTATAGGATAGCAATTGGGGGATGGGAGGAGAGATGGGCAATGACAACGACAGCAGGGCCCTAGTAATACCCTATTTCTTGATCTAATACTGATTATTATCAGGTTGTTCATGCTGTGAAAAATTCTTTTAGCTATAACATAATTTGTATACTTATTTGTTCACATGTTATACTCCAATAAAAGCACCTCAACAAAATAAATTCCACTGAAAGGAAATGGTAACTCTTATCTAATATAAAAATTCAAGCTTATAAACATTTTAAAAATAAAAACATCATAGTATTGCCCTAGCGAGTTTGACTCAGTGAATAGAGCATCGGCCTGTGGTCTGAAAGGTCCCAGGTTCAATTCTGATCAAGGACAAGGTTGTGGGCTCAGTCCCAGTGGGGGGCATGCAGGAGGCAGCCAATCAATGATTCTCTCATTCTTGATATTTCTCTCTCTCTCCCTCTCCCTTCCTCTCTGATTAAAAAATAATAATAAAAATTCTTAAATGTCATATTGGGGGAAAAACATTCAGAAAAGGACAACTTACAACTTTGTATGGCTCAGCAAAGAGAGGAGAGCTAGGTGGGAAGGCGTCTTCACCCTGCTGAATTTCCTGATTCCGCCTTTCCCGTTCTTTCATACGCAGCACATTCCGGTCTTCACGGTTCATGTTGCTATGGGGAAAAAACATAATCTTTATATCACACAAAAGAAAAGGAAAAATTAGATGTTCTCTACTGATTTTGTCAGTTTAATGCTTCAAATGGAGATTCCCTTTCACCTTCCAAATAATAACAGGCATTAGTGCTGAAGTTGGGTTTTGACAATGATTTTATCAATTAATACCACCCCATTGAAATACTTAACCTTATCAACTTTTAAAGTATTCTGCTATCTAAAAGCCAGCTAAAACTTATACATTCAGAGAGAAGGTAGTACTTAAACCCAAATCCTTAATATTTCTGATGGCTTCCTCTTCAGAACTCTTAACTATTCTCTGTCATTAGAGGCATACAACCCACCCCCATCTACCACCCCCTCTCCCCAAGGTCCAGTGCTTGTCTCTACTTTACATCTACCTTATCTTGATTTCTTTTTGTCCCAAACACAGCTTCCTTGGTGTCCATCCTTATGGCAGTTTGACCTCAGCTTTGCTGTTGCTCTAGATTCCCTAAAAAACGACATTTCTGCTCTAAATACATTAATATTTTAATTAACACCTCAATAAATGGCAAAACCGAGGCTTTCAGCAATATAATCTAAAATTACTTGGGTTAGTAACAGTAGTTGAAATTGTGATGGAAAAGAAAAAGACTTAGGGTGAAGGGAAAAATGAGAGTGTCTTTTCTATAATCATGAAAGTACGGTGTCTTTTCACTAAGAATAAACTAAGGAAAATAGTTGATTTACAGCAGTAGGGATTACGGTTACATAGATAATGAAAAAGGTTTTCAAACCCTGGGACAAAGAATTACCAGGAATTGTGTAACACTCTTCTTTGCAGATAGATTAAACCACCTGTCCTAGTTTTACCAGTACTTATTTTTAAATTTTTATTTATTTCAGAGAGGAAGAGAGAGGGAGAAAAAGAAAGAAACATCAATGATGACAGAGAATCACTGACTGGCTGTCTCCTGCACATCCCCTACAGGGGATCAAGCCCGAAACCCAGGCATGTGCAGCACTGACTGGAATAGAATCCAGGACCCTTCACTCTGCAGCCCAATGTGCTATGCACTGAGTCAAATCAGCTAGGGCTGTTCTACTTTTGATTAAAAAAAAAAAAAAAAAAAAAGTCCTGTTGGAAGCCAAAGGCAAAAATCAAGTTATACTATGTGCAGCATTTTTAGATTTAGGATTTATTAATCAAACCTAATTGGAAAATTAAAGTCCATAAAGATTAGGGAAATTTAATTGTAAAATTAGAATGGACAGCAAAGCCAATATACTCTTGAAAACTTTTATAAGTGGTTAGAACAGTATAACAGAGGTAACCTTTCTAATTTGCATAATTAATACCTTACATATTATATTTTTAAAGTACTCTAAGTGTTCCAAATGTATATTCAAATTGTTTCTTTTTTTTAATTTAAATATATTTTATTGATTTTTTACAGAGCAGAGGAGAGAGGGGTAGAGAGCTAGAAACGTCGATGAGAGAGAAACAACGACCAGCTGCCTCTTGCACACCCTCTACCGGGGATGTGCCCGCAACCAATGTACATGCCCTTGACCGGAATCGAACCTGGGACCTTTCAGTCCGCAGACCGATGCTCTACCACTGAGCCAAACTGGTTTCGGCTTCAAGTTGTTTCTTATTTGTACAATTTTCTAATAAACTTAGAAATGAATGTTTTTTGAGAGTGTGCTTTGTTCAATCTCCCTAGTATTTAGCACCATACAGAACCCCAAAAAGTGTTTGAGTCTTCCTTTAATAAATATCATACAACATCTACACTTCAGTATTCAGAGAATAAAACCAAAGACCATATATTATCCTCCAGCTCACTTGATACAACTAATAATTGTATATCACTAACAATCAAGTTTCAAATAGACCTCTTAACCTATGGTGCTGGAAAATACAAATTTATTTGTATCTGAGAATTTAAGGGGCATGTTAACTAATGATTTTCTTACATTTCATAAATTCAATTCCAGAAAGATCAGAAATCAGAAATTCCTTCTTTAATTTTAATGTATTTAACACTAAAATAATCATGCAAGAAATACTTATACATTGATGGCAAAAACAAAAAAAACCAGGTATGATTTCCATTTAAAAAATCCCTCCTATAATTACAAAAAATTATGTTTTCTTTTCTTAAAAAATAAGAGTCATCCAATCGAATATTCCCTCTTTTAACAAGAATGCCAAGAAGCTCAAAACTGCCTGGCTGGTGTGGCTCAATGGCTGAGCACTGACCTATGAACCAGGAGGTTATGGTTTGATTCCCAGTCCAGGCACATGTCCAGGTTGTTGGTTCAATTCCCAGTGTGGGGAAGGCAGGAGGCAGCCAATCAATAATTATCTCTCATCACTTTATGTTTCTAACTCGCTCTCCCTCTCTCTTAACTCTCTGAAATCAATAAAAATATACATTAAAAAAATAAGATCAGAACTAAATTAACAGATTATTTAAAAAGAACTAATATCCCAGTTATAGTTCTTTTCTAATTTTTTCCTGATTTGTTTTTGCATCTAATTTATTGTCTCCATTTTTTCCTCCTGTATTTTCACATCAATATCTTTGCCTAACGTAAAATAAAGTTTTCCAAAAGCAATCATTCCAGTAATATGAGCTTTCTTAAAAGTAAAATTTGAATGTATCAATTTGAAATATATCTTTGCAGTACAAAAGCTATTTTATTGCATATCCCTCATTATACATGCAACTATTGTACTAAAATAGGATTAAGTGTTTGTTTTTAAATTAGCAAATTGCTGTATCAAAATAAAACTTATGGGACTGACTAATAAAAGGATTTTGAAAAGAAAACTTGTCAGGCACAGGCATGCAGGTGGGAAGATTGCTGGATTCAGAACTGTGGAACCCCTGAAGTATTATAGGAGATTCTTAAAAGAGAATTCTCATCCTGATGGAAGAGAACTAGGTGAACTGAGAACCACAAATGTCAACATTAAAGTTCAATTAGTTCTGCAGATGGTTCTGCTTCAGTGAAGCTGGAAAATACTACAGAAATTGGCAGTATTTGCAGCACTACCAACAGATGTCCCTGATAAAGGTATGCTGTTCCTAATGTGGATCTACCACCTCTGTATTCGAGATTTCAATGTGGACCTCTTCAAGTCAAAGGTAATTCAAGTGGTTTAATTATAAGCAAGGACTATTTGATAAGCTACATGCTAGTAAAAATTCTTAAACATAAAACATCTAGTAACCAAAAATCAACAAGGGCAATCATCTCTTAATTAACTTTTTAAATATCGTAATAAAGTAATGTAAGCTCTAAACTTCAATTGAACTATAAACAGTTGAGGTCCCAATTTACTAAATGGAACAATTAAGGATACCTGACTTTTTGTTCTGGTTACATAACACTGGTGGCCCGGTGCATAAATTCATGTACATTGAAAGGAAATTAATTAGAAGAAATATTTTAATAATGCTATTTGCCCTTTCTCTATAATAGAAGTGTCAACCAAATTCATTATGACGATGACAGATTGAAATACATGCATGCGATTGGCGCCAGCAAGAGCTTTATATGTATTAGGCATGCCTTTTATAGATATAAACTTACTAAATTAGTCTGCTTTCTGATTTAGCTAAAGTTTTTCCAGCCCAGTGAAGCACCCAAACTTCTCTTTCAGGGAATTGTCAGCAACACAGCAGTAAATATCAACACAAAGCACATTATTATAGTAAATCATGCAGAGAAAACAAAGGGTAAAATATTTAACTGCAGTAGTGTCTTGACTATATTCTGTGCAGTGAGAAAACCTGAAGTCATTTTCAAGGTCCACCATTTCTTTTTCTTTTTTTTTTTTAATAAATTTTTATTGTTCATATTATTACAAATGTTCCTCTTCCCCCTTTGTCCCCCCATTGCTCTCCTCCACCAGGTTCCCACCCCACCCTCTGCCTTTTTCCCACCCCCCATTGTCCTCATCCATAGGTGCACAGTTTATGTTCAGACTCTTCCCACACCCCCCTCTCCCCTTTCCCTCAAGAATCATCAGTTCACTCCCCTTCCATACCTCTGATTCTATTATATTCAACAGATACTATTGTTCATCAGATTTTTTTAAATTTCCTTGGTTTTTAGATTCACTTGTTGATAGTTACGTATTTGTTGTTCATAATTTTTATCTTTATTTACTTTCTCTTCCGAAAGAATCCCCTTCAGCAATTCATATAATTCTGGTTTGGCGGTGATAAACTCCTTTAGCTTTTTTTTATTTGTGAAGCTCTTTATCTGGCCTTCGTTTCTGAGTGATAGCTTTGCTGGGTAGAGTATTTTTGGCTGTAGGTTCTTACTATTCATCACCTTGAATATTTCTTGCCATTCCCGTCTGGCCTGCATGGTTTTTGTTGAGAAGTCAGCTGACAATTGTATGGGTGCTCCTTTATAGGTAACTACCTGCTTTGCTCTTGCTGCTTTTAATATTCTCTCTTTGTCTTTTGCTCTTGGAATTTTAATTATGATGTGTGTTGGTGTGGTCTTCTTTGGATTCCTTTTGTTTGGAGTTCTGTGCGTTTCCTGGACTTGTAAGTCTAATTCTTTCAACAGGTGGGGGAAGTTTTCTGTCACTATTTCTTTCAGTATGTTTTCGATATCTTGCTCTCTCTCATCTTCTGGGACCCCCATAATTCTGATGTTGGTTCGCTTGAAGTTGTCTCAGAGGTTTCTTATATTATCTTAAACTTTCTGGATTCTCTTGTCTTCTTGTTTCTGTGGAGGAGTGTCTTCTGGCTCTTTCTGTTCCAAATCTTTGACTTGATTCTTACGATCTTCCATTCTGTTTTTAGGACTCTGAATAATATTTTTTATTTCAGACAATATATTCTTTATTTCTTGTTGATTCCTTATTAATTCTAGTTGATCCCTTTTCATATCCTCATAGGTCTTATTGACCTTTTCTAGGAAATTCTTGAAAAACCTTATAAGCGTAGATTTGAACTCTATATCCAGTCACTTTTTGTC